CGGGAGCCGAGCGAGTGCCGCGGCGGGCGGGCGGCCGCGCTTACCCAGTCCGCTCAGGAGGACGGACTCGCTCCTTTTCTGCGCCTCGGCCCGCTTCTTGTGGCGGGGCCGGAGCAGGGACTCGAGCCGAGCCCGGGCCAGCGCGCCCTGCATCTCCCCCATGGCTCCGCGGACCTGGGGCGCGCGACGGGCGGGCGAGGGCGACGGGCGAGCGCGGAGCGCGGCGCTTCCCTGAAGGAGCCGCCGTGACTCAAGCCGGGCTCGATTTCCTGCCCCGGGTCCCAAAACAAACAAATGGCCCGGGTGCACGGCCGAGCCGCTTCCGAAAACGCCTTTTTTGTGCTTTTGGCCAAAACCAAGCAAAGCTGAAAAGTCCCAGAACTTAAGGGGGGGGGGGGGGGGGGGGAGTGAGAGGTCAGGAATGTGGAGGGGAGGGGGCGGAAGTGAATTAAGTCTGCCCCAAGAAGGGGGGGGTACAATCTGCATTTCACTTCTTTTTCCACCCCTGAAGTAATCTCTGAGAACATTCTGTCCGTTCCGCGGGTAATTTTTTCCCCCTTCCATTTTAATCCCTGCCATGCCAAGAACACGTGAGAAGCTGGAGTTGGGGGGGCACTGGTTTGGCTCAAGAGTGAGCGGCCTGGAGTGACCCTGGCATCGTCGATTGCTTTTTGGGGGGGGTATGTGATCCTTTCCCCCCTAGCTCACATCGCATTGGCTTAATTAAAATCCGTTTGATTGTCCCCCATCTTCCCCACCCCTCCTGTGGTGTATCTCACGAGGGATCCAAGTTTTCGCCTCGATCTTTCTCCAAAGTTCACAAAGACGGTGTAACCAAGGAACTCCTGAAAGATTAGCCATGCCCCCCGCCAAGCCGGTGGCTGCGAGAAGCCGGGGCGCCGCCGTCTGTTTGGCGGCGCGGGGACGTGCGCCAGCGCTGGCCGGGAAGCCGGCGACCCAGCACCGACACTGGGGCCAGGGAGGGCTGGGAAGAGATGACTTACAAGTTACCACTATTTGCAAAGCCAGTACCTGGCGCTAGCTGGTGCTGTCTGCGGCGCCTGCCCTGCCGTGACCCCTTACTGTCAAGGGCTACGGCATATTAGAGCTGACTTGCTCCCAAATACCAGCTGTCGAACCAGGAATAGCACGCCAGCGCGCTTTGCCTTTGGTCCTGGGCAGGGGTAGTAGCTTTGCAGACACAGCCACCTCGTTTGCCCTAATAGGATCTGTAGTCTCAGCTGCTTTTTGACTTGCTCAGTTATGATAGCCAAAGACAGGGAGAAGGGGGCCTGCATATGCTCTCGCCTGGAGACCCACTGGCAAATCGTGTGTTAGCATCCACGATATTATAAAAGGCACTTGTTGTTGCCCGAAGTGAACGCTCCAACCTCATGCAAGGTATCTGCACCATGCCCATTCCCCTGTGCATGGAATCTTTGGAGATGACCACTAGTAATTGCCAGTGTGCACCCACTCCCCATACCCCACCATCCAAACAGCCTAGGCCAACCCCAGCCTTGCGTCCTGTAAGACAACCAGATTTGCTCAGTCTGACCAGGAACCTCCCCGGAGATTCTTGCTTATTTATTTTAAAACATTAGGAAACTTTTCTGACTGGGTTTAGTGACCCAAGCCTGTAATCCCAGCACTTGGGAGGAGGAGGTAAGAAGATTGTGAATTGAGGCCAGCCTGGGCTGCACAGTGGCACTGTCTTATTAAAAAGAAAGAGAATAGAAGAAAAAAGAAATAAAGTTCTAGGAGATTCCCCCTAGGGGCTATTTCTTGTGCCTTCTCCATGCCAAGCGACTCCAAATCCTCTGTGCCATCCTGTTTTTTTTTTAACCCCCCCCCAGCTTTAGTACTTAAAGCACAAACCTTTCCAGGGGGATCTTAGAGCCTTCTCTTTCATTCTTCAGGTTGCCCAGGATATGAAGATTGTGATGGGGGGGGCGAGGGTGGATCTGGAGGGACAGCTGGAGAAACCTATAGCAGTTGTGTCTCTCTGCTAAGGGCTGTCAGTTCTGAGAGCCCAGCCAGAGGTGCTATCCCTGTTCTGTGAGGAACCTCACTCTATATAAGGGGAGTTTACATACAGGAAGGGTGCAAGTTGCAAAGTTCAACACTGGGCCATGTATTCCCTCCTTGCAACATCATCTAGAAAATTACTGTCCTCTGTGTCCTGGGTTTATGACACCTCCCAGCCGAGACTCACCAGAAAGGGAACTTAACTGAGGATCATCACAAACGGGTTCAGGAAAAAAAAAATCACTCAAAAAATATAAAACAGGGTTTACTTTCTCCAAGTCGCCCCAGGCTCCCCCAGTGGAGACAAAGAGGGAATTTGAGTTGCAGGGCTCTGAGAGGACTAGGAAAAGGGACAACCATGTATTTGCAGCTGGAACAGCAAAGCCACCAGTCTGCTGTGCTCTCCCTCCACCACCCCCACCCCTACCCCCAACCCGAGTGCTCAACCTCGCCGGGAGACGGAGGATCTGCGAAACTTATCATTTCAGGGAGAGAAGCAAGTTGTTGAGACTGGCTTGGCTTCCAACCGGATACCTGATGGGTGGAGCAGGCGCCCCCTGTTCAGTCCCAGCAACCTACTAAGACTTCCGAACAGGAAGGTGACACACGGCTGCGGGGGTGGCCGGGGAGGGGGGAGGCGAAGGAACGGTGGGCGACCGCCTTTCAACGCGGCGCAGGCTTTCGGTCGCCCGGTGGCCGCTATTCAAAAGCTTGATCTGCTCTTCCTTCCTGTCGCCAGCCTCTTTCTTTGGTCCACAGTCTGTTCTCCTACCGGCCGGGAGCCGGCCCCTTCCTTCTTCCCTCTTCCTCCCTAGTGAAGACGCCTGGAAACCGAGCTGGTGGTGCCTGCAAGCTAGAGGGCGGTGGAGCTCTCCGGGTGGATCACCCCAGAACGATGGACTTCCTCCCCCACCCCCTTCTCTGCTGCAGCTGAACCCGTCCCAGAGAAATGCCCTGAGACGCCGGGTGCAGCTGGAAGAACATCTAGAAGGTTCGGCTAATGGCTAATTACCCACCCTCTCCCCCAATCCAGTCTTCTCACATAGGATGCAGAAAACTGCAACCCAAACTCCTGAATGCAAATGGTTCTCACCCACTTGTAAACTTTGCACAGAGACAAAAAACCCCACATTTTTTCCAGTGCATGCATAGTTTAATAATTCAAAGAATCGCTTTTTGGTACTCTATTTTATTTCTTTTTAGTGACTGACTATACCTATTGAAACTGGAGTTTTACTGCAAATTGACTTTTTGCTATTCAATTTAAAGGCTCACAAATCGCTATCAAAATATTAGAGAGGTGTGTGTGTGTGTGTGTTTGATGATTAACTGGAGGCAAGAGTCTCATGGAATTTCCTGCTGAGGCTAGTTTTGAACCAAGATCCTCAGATCGCAGCCTCTGGAATAGCTAGGATTACAGGTGTGAGCCGCCCACAGCTGGCAGACAATTTAAAGTAATAATAATAAAGGCTTAGCCAAATCCACTCTCGTACAGATTAAATATGTCAGCTGTGTGGGTCTTGATTACTGACTATGATATAAAATCTTGCCTTGATAACAGGGTAATCTCATTATTTTGCATTGCTCAAAATGTTTAATTTGGGCAACGTACTGTGCAGTTTATAGATTCCCATATTTATTTTTATTTTTTTGGGGGGTCCAGTCGTGGGGCCTGAACTCTGGGCCTGGGTGCTGTCCCTCAGCTCTTCAGCTCAAGGCTAGCGCTCTACCACTTGAGCCACAGCACCACTTCCGGCTTTTTTCTTTGTGCTTATGTGGTGCTGAGGAATCGAACCCAGGGCCTCAAGCATGCAAGGCAAGCGCTCTACCACTGAGCCACCTTCCCAGCCCCTCCCATATTTTTATTTATTGTTTGATGCATATAGAAAACTTTACTTGGAGCATCCTCATAGATGCTCTGCACATAGAAATGACAAAAAACATAATTATTACTTTAAAGAGCAAGTGAATGAATCAGCTTGTGTTGGAAGCTGCCAGCAAATGCATGTATATATATATATGTATATATATATGCATATATATCAGTCATCAAACACAAAATGATGACAAATGGGTTTATTCATGATTGCTGTTATGGACAAGTAATCAGCAATGTGTGTAATTTAAATATCTATTTATAGAAGCAAGTTCTGTAGTAACGATCCTGGTGCATATTCATAAATGTCAAAAATGACATTCATGAAAAATGTGTTGATAACTAAGAGGAACACATTACCCATAATAATGGAGTAAAGAGTTATTAAAACTTAGAAAACTTTTGCTTTATTTATTGTGAAACAATTTTCCCCTAAGTAAAGATGGTAACTCTAATATTCTAGACCCATCCTTTCTAGAAAGAGGAAGACACAGGAAAGTTGATGGGAGTGAGAGGTAAAGTTTTGTAGCAGCTAGTTGTGTGTGCCTGTGTGCATGTGTGTGTATGTGTGTGCATGTGTGTGTGTGTTTGTGTGTGTGTGTTGGACATGGAGCTTGAACTCAGGGCTGGGAGCTGTCCCTGAGCTTTTCTGCTCAGGGCTAGCAGACTTCTACTTGCTCAGAGTTCCACTTCTGGCTTTGTGGTTGTGGTGACTAATTGGAGATAAGAATCTCATGGAGGTGGGGCACTGGTGGGTCATGCCTGTAATCCTAGCTACTCAGGAGGCTGGGATCTGAGGATCGCACTTCAAAGCAAGCCTGAGCAGGAAAGTCCATGATACTCTGATCTCCAATAAACGACCAGAAAACCAGAAGTGGTGCTGTGGCTCCAGTGGTAGAGTACTCACCTTGAGTTGAACAGCTGAGGGACAGTACCTAGGCCCAGAGTTTAAGCCCCATGACCGATAAAAAACAAACACACAAAAACATACTTTTTTACCTGGCTTCGAACTGCAATCCTCAGATCTCAGCTTCCTGAGTAGCTAATAATACAGGCATTCAGCTGTAGCAGGTTTTTAAATGTTAATCTAGGAAGACTGTAGAGGAAGCCAGCAGAATCACTTAACTTGGAGGAATGATAGCAAAAAATCAGCACTTCTGTGATTGGTTGGAAACTCAGCCTGTCCCCATCTTTGCAACGTTGACAACACAAAATTAGTATAATACAAATGAAAACAAAAACACAGCCATCAACTAAGATATGATAAAGAAGGGTGGTAGGGTGTACTATCTCTATGAGAGCTTTGTCTGTGGTTCTCAGGGTTTATAACTGGTACATAGTGAACAGTGAGTTTTCTATATGATTATGAACTCTTACACAAAGGTCTGGATAGAAGAGAAAGTTGGAAAATCCTTTAAGTCCAAATTCATGCTATCTGTGATTTTCCATATTCAAGGGGACTATGACCTTACTGGCCATATTATTAACATAGCTTTATGTTTAGTCATTTACAACTGAAAGGTCATTTGTCAACTTCTAGAAAGTACTTTGCAAGGATAACTTGCCAACACCAA